TTACGTGAACTTTATGTCAGAAATTTGCTTACGAACAAAAAATATTAGATACTTTAAGGCTTTTACTCAAATAATATCCTTAGAGGAGACTTAAACTTTTACCAAAGTAATTTTATAGTAAGTTATGTGTTCTTTTACTCAAACATCACTATGAGACTTCATACAAGACTGATAACACTTGAGGCTCAACCCCGGTATTTAAAATGTACTTTTGTTCAGTAAAACTTAAAACACTTACCATGATCAATTAGGTATTTTTAGTGAAATTAATTAAAGTTCAGGATGTGGAGGGTTGCCAGGTTAGATTTTATTATAGTTTATGTTAGATTAAAGTAGACTGATTTGTTTTGGAAGGTGAAAAAAGGTTTATTAACATACTTCATCACTAATTCAAACTGTTCTGTTTGTTAACGTGTTTTTCACGTTGTGTATTCAGTTTTTAAGAGCCATCAGAGGAGTCTGCTTGTAAAGATGAGACATGGTTTTCGATTCCTCTACCTTGTTGTCTCACGCTCTTTAAAAAGGCTCTCTGTGGACCCGCAGAGACACATTACATCCTCACAGTGCACTGAGCCTGCAGGTTTTTATGTGCCTTGCGTTAAGTTAATACTCCTCACCCAGCTCCCTGTAGAGCCCGTATTATGTGAGCAAATTGGATGCTCAAACAGTCAGTCCGTGACCTTCCCTCATCCTGGATGTTGACCCCCGTATAAAGAGAGACATTACATCTCGTTACACAACAACACGGCTCCGGCGCTTCGCTGAAGATAAAGAAAAATGTCTCAATTAAATCTTCACAGCCCCCCYTCTCCCCTGCCAAAGAGTTATCGCTGCACCGGCAGCGCTGATCGCTACACTCACACATCCTCAAAAGTTATTTGACATAAATTGCRGGAGTCACATCATTTCCTGCCACACTCTGAGCAGGATTTAYGGCTGATCCCATTGACTGGGAGCTGAACCTCCAATAAAATTCYTCAAGTGCCGGGGGGCCCTCATGAGAGTCACCTATCTACTCCCCATCAGGCCCTGTTCCCTGCACCCAGATTAAACATGCAAATACGCACAGGTGGGAGGGTGATACTGAGCACACAGCCGTGCACGCGCACTGTGTGCCACTGGGCTGATATGGGAGAAGTACGCCTGATTGAGTTTTATCAGATGAGGGAGGAGTGAAAAAAAGGTGGTGGTGGGGGGGTTGCATCATTGCTTATCAAAGAACCAAAGGGAGTGAAATTATATCAAGCTTTTATTTGAAAATGAGGGGCGAGTGSTGCTTGTGGTCTTTGGAGGGTAGAGGCAAAAAAATAAAAAAAYAAAAAACAGCTAATGTCATGAACCTTTGAAGAAAATCATTTGAAAATTGTTAAACTACTGAAGAGAAACATGTGAATTATTTTAACCACTAAAACAATCTTATGGCTGCATCCATCACATTAAATCTGACTGAGGTGAATAATAACTATGTGGTAATTGTTGTTACCRTAATGATTTTTCTGTAAGTTTGGATACTTTGGTCATCTGATAACAAGTGTTTCTATTCAACTATATTGTTTATCTTWAGCTGTTTCAGTCAGGCTTTCTGTCCCTCTGTGTCAGAAATTAACTTAAAGCTTGGTTTAGATCTTTAAAATGGGGTTCTGTGGAAAGCGAGCAATTAGTATCTTACCTGTTGTAGATAGCTCTTCAAATGACCTCAATTTAGAGMAACAAAGTAGAATTCTTATCAGATTGAYGWGCTAACAGCTAGTTTGCGTGCATCGAAGATCATTTTAAATCAACTGTTGATATTTTGTAACAAATGAACTGAATTTTACATACGGTTTTATATCTTGTAATCCACTGCAGTCATTTACTTTAAACGGCAAAAGAATCTACACGTCTTTTTTTAATATATGCCTTGCTCCAATAGGGTAAACATACAGTATAATGGTTTATATTTCGGCATTTTAAGAGGGACTGCCCCGGGTTTTTTTTTTGTTTTGTTTTTGTTTTTTTAATAAACGATGGTATGAACACGTGATCGGGGGCCATTTTGTTTAGACTCCAAAGGCCTGGAGTGAGTTGAAGCCTTAAGATCTGAAAATAAATATTTCTGAATATTATTCAGGCATCCAATTTAAACAGTTCCTTATACAACCACCATCAACTTTGTATTTTACAATTGTCCAACAGAAATAATGGAATATCCACATTGGGAGTGCACCAGGCTTTGTTCAGAAAACTATCTACAACAGGTAAGATATTGTGTCTTCATGACCTTTCTACAGAACCCCACTTTCCAATCAATCCAACTTTATTTGTAAAGCCCTTTATGTACAACAACACAAACCTATTAAACGGTAAATACTTACTGTTTGTGGCAGGACACAGAAAGACATACTGAACAAATTTGTTTACTGTGTARTCTGGTTCATTTAAAGATGAAAACTAAATCCCAAGTTTCCTTTGTGAAGATCAAACCGTCATGAGAAACTCAAAAATTTCTACATGGACTTTAGAGTGACAGTATTTTATATAWTAAAAATGATCCAATCAGTCTGCACACTAACTGTAGCAGTGTGACAACATTCTTCACTTTCTTWATGAATTTTCTAGGTGAACTAAAGGTTTGAGACAAGCCGACCTCAGAAAGATCCAGACGTTTGTCATCACTAAACATAGTTTAGCCACAACCCGTCTGAACGATGCCAAACAAGTAAAATCAGTGAGACTCAGCAGCATCAGCAGCATCAGTGGCTCCAGGGCTTCCAGCTGGGGTTGGCTGCTTCCATGGCTGTTCTACCAGCACTGCGACCGGGGGGGTGGGGGGAGCTGAAGTGGTGGGCAGGCCACAGGATTGCCCTGAGGCGCCTTACATATAAACCACTAAAGAAAGATGAATTTAGCCTCTGTTGATGCCATGTTCGACACCCCCTCAAACTTAAAGCATCACAACAATAAAACAACAAAGAGGAGTTCACATTACTGTGAAAAAAAAAACAACAACTCTAAACCACTAAAAACTCCAAATTTACACTGGTTTTTAAGTTTATTGTTATTTGCATTAACAGTGTATGGAAATCTACAGTTTTCAAATCTGCACATATATTACATCTGCTGACAGGTGCAGTCTGTACACAAGTTACATTTCTGAGGACTTTTTCTGTGATTCTCTCTCATCATTACAGCTGTGGTCAAAACATAATTACAGTTTCGTAATTAACAAACTTCAAGTATTTCTTTACAATATGAGCTGAAATGGCAAATACTGAAAAGAAACAACATGCAACACAGAGACTAACTCCAGAAYGGATAAATGAAGAGGATATGGTAATACTGCTGTCAGTTTCAGCTTATTTTTTGCCTATAAAACAATATTTTTACATGGTGTTGTTGACCTGTAACGAATGCAACAAACGCACATATTATTGCTGTTTTATAGGATAGCCGCCTTCAGTTTGACTATTCTACTCAATGCCTCTGACTGAACTWAAAGAAGAATTAACCCTGGAGCAAAATGATCTAAGAAAAACTCACTCAAAGCTTTAGCTGCAACAAGCTCTTGTCACAATTTGAACTTGAAACTGAAATAAAAGCAAAAATCCTTCACACCACGTCTGAGACTTTAGGGAGGCAGCAATAACAAAATACATGTTGTACACCTACCTCCTGCTGCCCATATATAATGTGTGTGTGAGAGCGTGCACCTACATGATCTGTGCTTTAAGGTCACGGCTGGCTAACCTGATATTTGGAACGGACCAAAACTGATCTTTCAGAGCAATTTCAGGGCACACTGGGAAGTCTGGGGCAAGCTGGCAGCTGACTGTTCTCCCTGYGCTGTGCATATCTGTAGTTTCACTAAAATGACTGAACACTGATGGGAGACTGAGGTTAAAAACAGGAGGTAGCCTAATCTCTGCGAGGTTAACACGAAGAGCCAACCACGAAGCCCACATCTGATTTTTTTCTGTATTATTAGAATCATAAAAGCCCTGATTTGTGACAAAAGACGCTAAAGAGTGAGCTGCGCTTTCAGCTCAAGCCTCAGCCTGCTGCACGTGAGCCAATGGCTGAGCGAGCCGCGGCCTCTTATTTCCATTAAATTGACCTCCCTCAGTGAACTAACAATTTGCAAGGAAAAGCACAAAGATTAAACATGCTAGGAGCTTTCATATCTTCTGAAAGAGTGATGAATAAATAACTAGAATAACACACAAAAAAGGCACAAGTAATAATCACGGATGCAGGCATCAGGTATGATTGGCACAAAAAAGATGGTAAAGCAGACGTAATAAGAATTAAAAAGATGAAGTAGTTAAAGGACAACAATTGAAAATTGATGCAATAAAAAAAATCATGCATAAAAATATATACGAAACTCCCAAATTTCAATGTCAGCTTCAGAACAGCKAAACGTACCTGCCAAGTTTTAACTCAACATAGCAATGCTCATTTTCAGAAAGCTATTTGGTTGTTCCACATAACGTCCTTTGGCTATGTTTTTAGATACATATGCAGTTAGTTTATAGCTGTGCACATTTAGCCAGCAGTGAGAGCTGTAGCTCAGTATTTACACGTGTTTAAGTTATTGCATGTTCCACTGTGCAGTCCTGCACTAGTTGCACACGTGTGGCCGTGCTCGGTGTGCTTCAGAGAGGGGGTTCTAAACTAGTGATGCAGGCTTTAGTCCTGCACTACGCGGAGATACACTAAGGCTGCAGCTGGATGGAGTCGCTCGGAGGGAGCGCAGAGAGAGAGAGAGAGAGGAACACAGGAAGCTGTCACCAGTAGAAAGACCGTGACAGGAAGTTGGCGGCCGTGCTGAGCCAGCCCATGCCGTCTGTGACGGACCCCACGCGTGTGACAGCCTTGTCCTGCTCGTTGGACGGACTCTCGTCCTCAGGCAGGTAGTCTGGGATGTCTGTGTTCTCCTCTACCAGGACTGCTGCGTCCTCCTGGAATGGTACCACCAGCTGGGAAAAACACAACAGAGAATAAACAACTTTCAAAACAAAAACATCTGTAATTTGTCAAAACAGTATTTGTTCTCTAAAGGAATCAGTAAAGCCAAATATTTATAACTAAACGAACAGAACATAACTGAGCCTGGTCTGACCCCTACTGGTCATTTGATGTACTGCAGCTAGTGACAAATCATAAGGCCCTGTCRYATTATAATGTTTTAGACAACTTATGCCAACTTAGCATGACTTTATCCAACACTAAAGATGTCAAAGATAAAGATGGAATTTTTAAAAGGTCTACTGGAAGCCCTTTTTGGAACTATACATACTGTAAYATCCGATACGAGTAAAATAGTCATAACAAAATGTTCATAAGTCGGCATAAGTTGTCTAAAACGTTACAGCGTGACAGAAACTTTAATATTTAAGGAAGTAAAAATGTGTAACCAGGCCTGGCTATATCTCTGCCAGAAACGGTTGACGGTCCGAGGCAGAGATGAGGCTAGCTAACTGTGTCAGTGTGAATGAGCAACAACCACTGGCTGCCTGCAAAAAAACCACACAAACACATAACATGTGGCACACAGACCTACAATCTGATTTTCTCTGAGGGAAAATTATTTTAATTACAAAACTCTGAGGTCATCGCTGCGAGTTCAGCTGTCCTTACCTCGCCTCCATCCTCGGTTTTCAGCACCTGCTGAGCCGTCATTACTTTTGTGGAGTTTATTGCTGTTCCCAACGCCTGTGAGAAGAGAATTGTTTTTTTGTTTTTGTTTTGTTTTGTTTTGTTTTGTTAAATGAATCAAGCTTTCTGTAATCTATTGATTCAGAGGTGTCAAGAGGAAGCTATACTTTTTTATATATATATATTAGGGGTGCAACAATACATACTGTATACCCGTATCGAACAGTGCTTTAGGTTCAATACACACTTGTATCGAACAAGATTTTTAAAATTTACTTTATCAACTTGTCTTCTGAAGATGCTCTGTGTTGAAG